AATTTCCTGAGTTGATATGTCATTTATTCCTGGCAAACTATCACCTTTGTCTACATATAGCTCATATTTTCCGAACTAGAAATGTACTCACTTGAGTTAACTTCTTCCACCAAACAAAAAGAATTATTTTAAAATTGCTACTCAGATTTTAGAGAAAGTCAATGACTTTAAAATGGCATGACAGACAAGTTGCCTGATCTCTGGCCTTTAGGTTCTTTATCTATAATATAGAAGGGTTGAAAGACTTCCAAAGTATCTTTCAACCCTAATATTCATGAGTTTCCAACGACACAGTGTGAGTACTGGATGTTTTGTTCTTAAAAAACATTCCTAGAAAATCATCAATAGTGAGGCATATTTTTTTAAGGGTAATTTACTTTTAACAAGGAGTCTATTTTCATAGATATCCATTTACCCTTGTCTTAAACATAAGAAAATACACCAAAAGATATTCACATTTATACAAGTTTCCCTTTTAGAAGCCATTTTCTCTTTGATAGAGAACTTCTAGTCATTCCATGGTGATAATAGTTGTGTAAAAAGGATACAGTGCAGGGCTTCCCTGGTGGCGCAGTGGTTGAGAGTCCGCCTGCCGATGCAGGGGATACGGGTTCGTGCCCCAGTCTGGGAAGATCCCGCATGCCGCGGAGCGGCTGGGCCCATGAGCCATGGCCGCTGAGCCTGCGCGTCCGGAGCCTGTGCTCCGCAACGGGAGTGGGGAGAGGCCACAACAGTGAGAGGCCCGCGTACAGCAAAAAAAAAAAAAAAAAAAAAAAAGAATACAGTGCAATCAATAGCAACAATTCAGCACTACCAAGTTCTGCAGGAACAAGGAATGGGCAGAACATCATTGTGAAAATGTGTATTTACTAAATAAGCTCAATAAATTGGGACCTTCTCAGGAACTGTTAGAGAATGAAAGACCAAACATACTTTTCACATATTGACATTTAAAAAGGCAATTTAAACTCCTGCTTTTCCTGCCTTCACTGAGACAAGCCCTAATAAACATATTATTCACCTACAAAACAACACTTTTATTCAGAAGGATTCCCATGAACTAACCCACCTGAGGTTATGACCTAAAAATCATTGAGCTGCACGCATTTTTCTGGCGTTTTTAAGCAGTGATTAAATATGCTAATAATCATAATTTAACACATTTAAACACAAGTTTACTCACTGAAATACCATGAGTTTTAGTTTCATGAACCAGTACTTGAATTTGAATTACCTTTACTGCTACACTAACAAATTTAATCCCTGGAGACAACACTGATAGCACTTACCAGGACTTTGTAGTGACATGATACTATCATGCATCGGGGTTATGATGATCATCTTACTTCTTCAAAAACAGGGGAATTACTTGGGAGGAGTAGCCAGGTATGATTTACCCAAGTATCTTTCCCAGCACCTAACCCCACGTTTTTTAAACATTAGGTCCCTTCCTAAATCCCTGTTGAGTAAGTGGAGTTCAAATGTTCGTATCTATATCTATTAATTACATGTCAACATCTTCTTATACAGATCTCTTTGCATGTGCCTAAAGTGAAATTTAATCCCCCAAAAGCATTTGATTCTGATTAGTGTTTTAGTTATCTAACTATTCAATCAGCAAATTCAGGGTAACCAAATTACCACAAATATTAGTTGCTCTGAAAAAAATGGTTAGCTTAAATATAGCAAAACAAGCCAATGGAAATAAAGAGAACTGAACTTTTAAAAAGATAAAAGAACTGCTCATCCCATTACAAGGTTAAGTTCTGTAAATGTAGAGACTTTTTTGACTTGTTCACTGATGTATCCCCAGCTTCCAGCAGTGTCTGGCAAATACTGGGCCCTCAGTAAATATTTGATGAATGAATAGATTGCTGATAAAACAGATTATTTTATCTATTATATATATTTAGTTCAGAATGTAAAATAGGATTCATTTGTGGAGTGCAGAAGCTCTAATGTAAGCTGATACTGAAGTGTGATTCTGGCAAAGTCTCCAGGATTGGGGATTACCAACTGCAAAATACAAGTAAGTCTACATCCCAGACACTGACTGGCTGATCGAGCCTGGGCCTGGGATATATCAAGCACAGGTAAGCAAGAATTTCAAGTTATCATCCCTGTGCATGCAGGCAGTACCAGTGCCAGCAATAACAAGACAGTTTTTCGGGCAAATCCATCGAAATTAAATCTTAAACTTTTGAAAAATGAGTATGTTTATTATGCTCCTTCAAGCTTAGAAGCTTAACTATCTGTGGGAGGTGCCTATGATCATGATCAATTACTTGGGACTTGAAGGCACTTATTAAGGCGTCTGCCCTTTTAAGAAACCTTTAAAGAACCAGCCATAGGACTGTAAAACGGATCCTGCGGGACAACAATAAATCACAGGTTTGAGGGCCCAACTTTGACAACTCTCCCTTGGAAGGAAAGAATTTGTTGTCACCTGTGCTTGACTTCCTGATCCTGCCTGAACAAATATCAGCATCCTCTAAAATCTGAATTCCTAGTCTAGCTAAGTAAGTCATGGGGGCCAGTAATTGCCCCAAGGCAGAAGTGGAAGAGAAGAAACAGGAAGGAAACAAAACGGAATGGAGATCTGCAGCTCGTGAGGATGACATCATCAATAATTTTCTGAAGTGTCACTGAATTTCATGGCATTTGACTGATGGTCTTTTCTGACAAACTACAGTCTCATTATATTCAAGCAGCTTCTTGGTTCCAGAGCCTGTAATGTCTGGGCTGGAGTATGACTTGTTCTACAGGAAAGGTCAGGTGAACTGAGGCCTTACTGAGAACTTTCTCCATGGCAAGGGCCACGCTAACCTGCCTGAACACAAATAATACGTGGACATTTGAAGCATTCTTAAATTTACAAAGTGTTTCCATATACACTATCTCAGTTTCTCCTCACAATTCTTAAGAGGTAGATGTCATCATCACCACTTAACATGTGACATAGTTTTAGAAAATGATGCCTTTGTCTTCAACTTGTAAGTGTAGTCTCCTAAAATTTCTCAGTATAGAATCCAAGACATGGGTTAGTTAGAAATCTGTAAAGACATGCCAACCTCAAGAGAATATATCAAGAGAATAAGATGGATTAGCCAAAATCTACCAGCACAATGACAAAAACAACCTTTCTTTGTCACAAGAATAAATTGTGTTTTTTAAAGGATGTTACACCGGGGTGCCTCTGTAACACAGCTACAATTGGAAGAACATGATTTTATTTATATACATGATAATCATCCTTAACTGGACACTATCCAAAGGTAACAGACAAAATAAAACAAGAACTTTGGACCTACAATTCTAGTGGTGGAATTCACCCTTTGGGAAGTGTCTAGGTGATTCCACTAGGAAGATAACTAAGTTACAGGGGACAAAATGTACCCTTAACTTTTCTCTCCAATATCACAAAAGACTCCCCAAAAGGGTTTTTGTTGTTTTTCAACAAAGAAAACATACACACAAAAGGTTATCTATTGCTTTTATTTATAATCCCATCTTCCTAAAACACTGATTCCCTCAGTCTCATTATCTTTTGTCCCTCTCTTCTTTACTGGCTAAAATAGAGGTATATTAGGGTCCTGCCATTATAGCCATTTACTACTTTATTTAGGTATTTATGATTCTTTGCTGCCTTCTAGCCTGAGTCTGACTGTGTCAGGAACAAAGCACAACACAAATCATCCAACCTGGGATAAGAGGAGACAAGCTGAAACCTCCCAGGAAGATTCTGTAGACACTTGGGCTCCCTGAAACTATAGAGGGCTTGGTATTTCAAAGGTCAGCCTTGGGTCTCTCCACTTTGATGACTAATGTTAAACTGTTTGACTTTTTTACAAAAATATTTAGCTGTGCTTATTTACATAATTTCATCCACAGCACACATACGGTAGTAGACACATATTTGTTGAACAGAACCCCTAGACGGATGAGAAGACAGGAAGAAGACCTCAAGACCTCCTTTTTGGAACATATTATCTTAGGAGTTGAGAAAGGTGAAATCACACCCTGATTTGTAGAAGTTTCTGGGCATTCCTTTTCAGCTTAAAACTATGCACCTCTGTTTTAAAAAGAAAAGGATGACACACCACACAATGTCAAACACACAATGGGGAAATTCCAGGATCACTAAGAAAACATCATATATCTTAAGCGACAAACACTTTGGTTTAATACTGGTTACCACACAAGAGAGGCTATAAGTACTGGTGCCTCCTCACCCACCAGCACAACCCACCCAGGAAAAGCAAGGGCAGGACCTTTAGAATATAAAGATTCCACAACCTGGACTCACATCTGACCCTTTGGAGAAGGAGTCTAAGGACTATGCTGGCCCAGAGACATAAAGTAATGCAAACAGGTAACATTTTGGGAAGAAATTTTTTAAATGACACAAACTGGGCATCAGCACTGAAGTCCTCAGACCATCAGAAATCCTTATTATTATGCAACGTTAATAAAAAGAAACTGTAGGTGTGACTGGCAAAACTATTCTTAAAAGTTTCTGCACTTTTAAACCTTATTTCTACTAGGCCCCGACAATAAAGCTTTCTTTCTACTAATCATCACCATATCCTCAGACCTCTCACTCATTCTCTCAAAAATTCCCCCAATGGCCATGGAAACCATGCTGGGGCTGGAGGGGCGCGTCTCAGGTTGGCCTGTTCTGTCCCTAAAAGACGCCCATCTTTCTGGATCCCTTTCAGGGTGGGCAGGGAGAAAACACTTAGAACTTGCACAGCGGCAAGGAGGCCTGCGCAGGTCACATTTTATGACTTGTCTTTCTGTTCGCTGTCTGGCAAGGTCACCGGCTCTGGCTCGTGGCTCTGTCGACAAAACTTACTCTCACTCGGTAAGGTCAACGGGTCGCGCCGGGCCTCCCTAGCCGCCCCCCCCTGCCCCTCAATCTTCGTGGGCCCCAGGATCCCAGTCCCGGCCCTCCCACGGCGCGCGGCCCCAGACGGCGCGGGCGCCGCTCCACCGCTCACCTGACCACGTTGGGGTGCTCGAAGGTCTCCAGGTGCCTCAGCACCGCCACCTCGCGGATGGTAGACAGCGGCATGCCCTCCTCGCCGGTCTGCACTCGCACGCGCTTCAGCGCCACGAAACGGCCTCCGTTCTTCAGGTCCCGGGCCTTGAACACCTTCCCATAGGCGCCCTCCCCGATCTCCGCCACGCATTCGTACTGCTGGTCGGCACGGCTCAGGCCGTCCTTCTCCATGCCGCCCGGACGCCGCCCGGCACGGCGCCGCTGGGGCGGGCGGGGGGCGCGCTCGGCTCGCTCGTGGCCGCTGCTCGCCTCCTCCCGGACCCCCGGCCCGCTCCCTCGCGCCCTAGAGCTCGATCTCGCTCTCTCTCACCCCCGCCGACTACCGCGGTCCGGCGCTCGGACTCTCGCGGCCGCCGGGGCTGGATGGAGCGACCTCCCCGCGGGCGGGCACAACCCTGGTGCCGCCGCTGCGAAACTCCGCCTGCCGAGTCGCCGAGGAGCAAGCCGATCCCTCCTCTTCCCTCCCCGAAGCTCAGTCCTCTGTACAGGCACCAAGGCGATTACATAGTCTTTGCCCGAGCGCGTCTCACTCCACAGTCCTTCCACCTAAAAGAGGAGACGGGAGGACAAGAAGAAAGTGTAATCAGACATCCCAGGCGCCTTCCTCGGGGTTCCTGTAGACACCCCTCCTCCTCCTTTACGAAGCCCCCTTCGCTACCCTCTGCGAGCTCCTGCCCTCTCCCAGGCCGCTTAATCCTTCCTGGTTCCTCCGAGAAAAGCGAAGTTACTTTTCTTTCCCTGCAGAGCTGGAGCCGTCTTCGCGCGGAGAGGTTGCAGGGGCCCCTCGGGGATGAGCGCGGGGCGCGAGACGCAGTGGAACGAGAGGGGGCGTGCCAAGCAGCCCAGAGTGTGCCGGGAGCGCGGGGGAGGGGAGGCGCCGGGCACGTCAATGTCACGGCTTAATATTTATCCTTATATCATTGTGCTGTGCTGCTACCCTCCCCGCCTGCCCAGGCCTGGAGGTGCAGGGAGAGGGGCTCCTGGGATGCCGTGGGGCGTTTCGGGGTCGTGCACAACCTGGTGTGGAGAGACCGCGGGTCCACTGGTGTGCGGCCGCAGAATGTGGGTGGGGGCTCCCAGGACCCTGTAACCCGAAGCTGGGAGTGTGCGAGAAGGGGTGGTCAGGCATCTGCTCGGAAATTGCTTCCTTTCTTTCCACTTTCAGTTTTTCTACGAGGACACATTTTAAAACGACTTGCACACACAAATGGTCTTTTTAGGGTAAAGGAATCTGGATTGGAAGCGGAATTCTTCCTCCGACCTAGAGGACCTCCCTGGTGGAGACCCATCAGGTCGGGGAGGGCTGGAGCTCCCGCTCCTCGGGGGTGGGTGAGCGACAGGGCCCTGGGGGTGGGGTGGGAAGTCGCCCACGGGACCCTAAGAGTGGGAGAAAGAGGTGTTCACCGCACTTCAGCTTGTCGTCTCCTTGGAGAACAACTTCAGAAGGAAGGCAGCATAACCGTGACTCGCCTAGAAATTTTCAACCGATTGAACCTGAGCAAAACTCAGCCTCCCCTTAAAAGGGGTGGGCGGGGGGAGTAAATGCTGAGCCTCCAGGGGAAAGTGAGAAGGGGTTGCGCCCTTGAGGCCTGGACTCGCGAACCCTTCCCCACTCCCAGGGTCGTCCCCAAAGTAGGCAGCAGAGGTGGCTGCTCCATTCCCCTTTCGGCTTAAGGCCGGGTCCGAACAGCAGCCAGTGGCCCCCCAGGAGCCCCCCACACAACAAAGCGGGCTGGGTAGGGGACGACGCACTATCCCTTCCCATTCGGCTGCAATCCAGGACCCAGGGAACCTCCTCCCCACCGCCGCTTTGGCCTCGGCCGGACATTCGCCACTACAGCCGCGTGTCCGAAATTCTCGGGGCACCTCGGAATTACCTGCCCGGCAACCGCTGGCGCGGTCGCCTTCTGCCAGGCATTATAGAAACAAAATGCGCGACCCCCACGGCCTGCGGGCGGAGGGGCCCGCAGCGAGGGCAGAGACCCTCACACTCACTCTATTCAAAACTCTCCTTAAAAGGTGAAGGCGAATCCTGGGGGAGCCGAGGAACGAGCCCCTAGAGCCAGCACCGCGGTCTGAGGCAGGCCGAGGGCCACACAGGTAGCTGAGGAGCCGCCGCAGGCTGCGCAGCCCGCCCCCCCCCGCCGCCCCCCCCCCCCCCCCCCCCCCCAGTCCTGACCCCCGCCCGGCAGCGAAGGAAGCGTCGGGGACGTCCCACCCCCGCAGGGAACTGCGCCCGCTGCCCCCGCCTGGCCCCGCACCGCCCGCCCCGGCTCTCCCCCCTCGCTCCCGGGACTGTAGGCTCCGGCGGAGAGAAACGGGAGCAGCAGTGCCTTTTCCCCCCCTCTCCTCCACTTTTTTGTTGTTGTTGTTGTTGCTTTCCCACGCTGGCTGAATGTGTCTTGACCCCATTTCAAAAAAGTTTGACATAGTGCTTCAACATTTCCGCATTCCTCCGCGACTACAAAGGCTGCAGCCGCCTCCTTCTGCTTTCTGTCTCTGCTCTCTGTCTTCACACTCAATGAAATCCTTCATGTGCCTCTCCCGAAGCCTGCCAAGCACCGCAAGGGTCGCCACCAGCGCAGCGACAAGAGGCCGCACCGGGGACCACGACTCCCGCGTGTGCGCACAAGTAGATGCGCCCACGTGCACACTGACGGGCGCGGTGCTGGGCCCGAAGGTGCTCACCCCGGGGCGTGCGTTTTAACTTCGATATTTTAAATTAGAAACGTAAACTGGGAAACTAAAGCAAGCGTGCATCCTTGCGGGGCTTCCAGCCTGGGCACTGGCCGCCTGCGTGCACTCCTCTAAGTGTGCATAACACGCCCGCAGGGGTTGCCAGCAAGAAGTCTGCGTTAACATTTATCTCTTAGTGGGTAAGGTGGAGCCCACACCGTACCTCAACGAGCTTTCGGGGGACATAAACATAAGGCACCGAAACACATTCTCCCCCATGGAGTCCCCAACAGCAGTGCATTTTAAACCCTAAATGTGGATTATTATGTGAGTTTCCGAGTGGAGTTTGAGTTCCGTTTGAAGAAGCTGGATAAAAAGTGTTTGTGGGTGCGTTTGTGCTTAAGGCTATGTGTGAGCTGGCACAGGATCTCGGTGTTGGGGGTCGTCCCTCGTGTGGCGTCCTAATCTGGCGTCCTCTGGCCGGATTAGGAGAAACTCCTTTAGCTTCCCAAAACTAGCCCCCATAACTACCGCGCCTCGGTTCGTAAGGGGTTAACCAAAGCCTATTCCGAGAACCTACCGCCCCCCCCACCCGGTCCTCGTCCCCCCTACCCACCCTCGCCTCCGACACCGGCCAAGCCTCCAAATCTCCCCCGGGGACCCTCCCCCCCACCCCGCAGCCCACCCACCCGAGCGCACAGCTCCTTACCTGAGGGGCCCGGCCGCGTCGGGCCTCGCGAAGGGGCTGCGGGTATCAGTCCGACCTTCACACGTGTCCACGGCGGCGCGGAGCAGGTAACCCGGCTTGGAGGAAGGAGTTACCAGCACTCTCTTCGGCGAAGGGGTGGGCACTGCGGCGGAGGGAGGAGGGGCGGCGGAGGGCGCCGCCCGCGCCGCTCGCTGGGGGCGGACGGGGCTGCGGGGCTCCGGCCGGCGCTCGGGGCCCGAGCCGGGGAGGCGACGGGGGCGGGGTTGGGGGCCCCGGAGGCTGACTCTGCCGGAGACCCTCCCGGCGGCGGGGTTGGGGGCTCGGCTCTCAGTGGCAAGCGAGTGTGCAAATTAAAGCCTTCCGGAGAGAGGGGAGGCGGCCGAGACCCGGCTGTGCTCTGAGCCTCCCCGCTCCCTAGCTCTCTGCTCCGAGTGGGGGGCGAGAAAGAGGGGGGAGTTCAATGAAAATTTCCGGCTTTCACTGCAACTGGAGTGAGGGATCTTGCGACTAAAATAAGAGGCGTGAGAGGGAGAGTGGGATGTGTCGTCGGGAGTCGGCGGAGTTACCAAACCCAGGGTCGCCCAGAGTTGGGGTTTTGACAGAGTGAGGCGGGCTGGGCGTATCAGCAGTCTGTGATGTAGACGGATGGGAAAAACACAAAACAACCAACAATAATTATGAGGGGCCGGTGGGGATGGTAAATACCAACACTTTCCAAGAAACTGAAAAATCAGACCAAAAAAATAACTCTTCTCTATTAAAAAAAAAAAAAATTGGCAGGACGCCTTGCAGAAAAGAAAATACTAATCTGTCCAAGCACTTTTCACTTTCAGCATGAGCTACATTTGTTTTGTTTTCCTTCGCTTCCTTTCGGCCTCACAAAGTCCTATCTTTTCCTTTTGGACAGAGGATATGACTTGGAAATTGTCAGGCACTCTTGTGGTTAACGATCTACTTGAAGGAGCTGGCCGGTTCACAATTATTAAGAGATTAGCAAATGCTGAGGGTTCACTAAGGTATTTCTGGGGAGGTAAAAAGCCTGAAATTGATTGTAAAGAACAGAACTGCAAGGTAATAGACACACACGCACACACACACAAAGAGGAAACAACACGATTCGGCGGGTGCTCAGTTTAAATGCATTATTGGAATTCTGAAATTTGAAACCTTGTAAGAATGTATACTTTACCTGCTGAGAAAACCTGAATACAGTTATTTCAGGTGAAAATGAGATTTTGGAGAAAAATAAAAGTCTTCTAGACTTTCTACAGTGATGTAAAACAAAATTTAAAATAGCTATTTTTTTGGAAAGAATTCAGTGTTTTCCAAAATCTCTATCTGTAGAATACTTGAAACCCTTTAAATATCTTAATGCAAACCCTAAAAAATTTTATTTATTTCAGTGCTCTGTGGAAAAGTTAAAACCCAGAAAAATTCTGTTGGAATTGAAAACACTACCTTATAAATCTTCTGACTGCACAGTAGATCAAACTTTTGCTTTATAAAATTGATTCTATACTACAGTGTGAAGTAACAGGTTAGGTAAATAAAAATTGTTGCATTTCCATTAGCGAATATTTTGCAATTCATTGTAATAATTTATTCTTAAAAAATAAAAGTGAATAATTGTGGGTTTTATGCTTAAGATAGTTCATAAAATACACTTTGTGTTTAGAAGCATATCTTCTAAAATGAAATCCAATTTCTGAACAAAATTTGTATGTGTAAAGATATCTATAATCTTATATACCTTACAGACTTAAGAAAGCAAATTGTTGGATTTTGTATTTATATAAAATATTGGATCACTACAAATCACTAATTAGACTTTAAACCAGAGACACAAATGGGAATCCTCCATTTTGATAATTGCTTACACTATCAATGCTTTTTAAAACAAGATTGACTTGCTGGTAATTAACACATTTATAAAATTCAGAAATAATTGTCAATAAATAGTCATAGGAACCAGCAAATGATTGTAAGAATTTGAGTAAATAATTTGTTTAAAAATATTAAGCTGTAAATATCTTTTAAATTAACTGAAAAATGTCTTTTCTACACTGGGTTGCATTTTGAATTGCTGAATTTGGTAACAACCATAGATGGATTAGAAACTCCATGATTTAGCTTACTACATCACTTGGGCTATGTCAAAAACAATGAAACTTTATTTAATTATATATGTTATTACTGAGTGTTACCTCTCTTTATGTCATCTGCTTTCTCTGATACTGTTAATTTATCATGTTCACTCACCCTGGTTATGGTTCACATTAACTCCAGGTTGGTTAAAACTTCAGACCAGGAAGTTTTACAATGGATTGTATAAAATTAGTAAATACCAGATTGTTTTTGTTTATGGATAACTTCCTCTGTGGGTAACAGGTTATCATAACAAAATTTGCACAAAGTTTATAAACTGTGAACCAAATTCTGACTCCTTTGTTTAGGAGTCTTTGATGAATGAATACATCATTCTGGAATAGTGATTTGTACCAGTATTTTCACACTGCATCTCAGGTATTCTAAAGCTGCAAATCATCTTACAGTTTTTTAAAAATTAGAATTCATGGAATTATTTCCAGATATGATGTTGCAGCTTACCCTAAAAGTTTCCTTAGTGTCACGTAAGAGATATATTCTGTGTGTGAACATTTTATACCAAATATCTGTAAATTTTTGTTTTCACTAAAATAAAAATATAAATTACAGACCAGAATTAAATTTTTAACACTTTAAGAAAGAAGAAATTTGTTTAAAATTAGTAATTATATAATGTACACCTAATTCTAAATGATCTCTGATTTATATTAGCCATTTGAATTTATAAAATACATTTTCTAGAAACTCAGAAATGAGGTTTTACTAGAATCTACTACACAATCATCCTAATTAGAGGTCCATGTAAATTTATACTTTTGGTCTATAAAGTTCTGTTTATCATCTTGATAAAAAAACTTTTCTGGTTTAGTAACTTTGAAATTAGTTACCTTCATTTTAACTTGATTTATATGGGTATGTGAACATTACCTTTATTGAGTAATTACCATAAAAAACTTTTTAACAGAAAAAGCATAATATAATTCAATGGATTTGAATAATTCTTTACCCCTACCCAGGCATTTCCAAGCTGTTTTTTTTTTTGGGGGGGTCTTTAAAATATAATATTGAAAATTTGCTACATATCCTAGAAAAAAATCAATTGTACTACCAACTTTTTCAATTGTAAAATTCTGGACTTAATTATTTTTTAAGTTCAACCTTCTAAATAAATTGCTTCCTGTCAATTTGGAGATGATCTGGATTTTTCTCTTCTTGTTGCACATTACCTAGTGCATTTCATTTGAGCAGTGGAACTTGAAAAGGTTTTGATATTTGCCATGAAGAAAAATAATATGAGTTAGTAGCTTATAAAATTTAAGGAGAAAAACCAAACATTATTATCTATTGAAAACATTCCGTTTTCATGGAGTGAAATTATAATTATCCCTATGCAACATGTCAGTACTATGTTCATATTTGTATAATTGTCATCATCTTTTCAATGTTTTCCTTTTGATAGACACTCATATCTTCTTTTTCCGTTGTGTGTGAGAGTACCTGTATGTTCCTTGGCATATTGTTGTGACACGTTCCAAACATGTTCTTAAGATTCTTTCATCAAGTATATTAGAATTCTGAGTAATCAGAAAAATAACTATGGAAATACATTTACAAAGATGGTGATAGTCACACTGAAATACCTACACTTCCTTTCCATTTAGAGTGTCCTGTACTTTTCACTGACTTCCTACATTTCTTTTCCAAGATAATACTTGCATCTCAACTGCACACATGGCCTAACAATTGTGTCACCATAGCTGCCTTTGGTTGAGCTAAAAGGTGTGTACATATTCTAGATAAACTGTTCAGATGAAGCAGTGAAGGTCCAACACAGTGGGGGTGAACGATGATATAGTGGGATCTGGGAGATAGGAAGAAGGACAAAGAAAGTCACCTGGGAGAACCTCCTGTGAATGGCTTGGCAGTAGGAATATGTGAAGAAAGCACATGCTAAGGTCCCGAGGCCAAGAGATGTTCCTCAGTGCTCTAGGTATGGCATATCCAGATAACTGATTCTTTTGGAATGAACAGCATTCTATGTCTATCCTATTATGCAATGAATGAGATTGTATAGTGTATGAATCCATATTCAGGTAACTCTCTTATGTTGTCTCCTTATGGATTTTCCCTGAAAATAATATAGAATGGAATTCTTTGTAGAATTCTCTGAATGCCTAGAAGAAAGTACATAATAGCATGGCTCTGTGGATCAAACAGTTTACCATAAATTGAAGAGAGGATCCAAGTTTTAATCCCTACTATAAATTTGTTCTAGGTTTCTCATAGCTCTGTATCCCCGATACCTAGCACAGTAACTGGCAAGTATTTTATGTCCAAGAAGTGTTTGTCAATGGGAAAGTTGACTTTGTATCCTTTATTCCTTCTTCTTTGGGACAATCTATTGATTTCCTTCAGGGGGATATATTAGAATAATTTTTTTATATAATCCCTCCAAAATTTAAGGATCAGTGTGCTGATTTCAGGACCCCAGGAATGTATCTCCTCTACCTTCTGTTCCCTTTCCTTTTAGCCCTCTTCTCTAAATCCTACAGTCCTTTCAGGGCCCAGCTCTTCCTTAAAACCTGGAAGATTCCCTCAGCCCAATGACAACCTCTTTGCTCTAACTCCTAGAGGCCATCTGCTTCCTACCTTCCTCAAAGCTTGATGCTCTGCTACCCGCCACCATGAGCTCCCTGAGAGTATCCACTGTGCCTTGCTCCCTTTGGCAATGTCCCAGCACCTGGCTGTACCATCTGGCTATAGTAGGTGGTCAGTGAACACACCAATGGCTCTTGTCTCTCTCCATGAGTGTTACTGAGTCAAGCAGGCACAGAGCAGCCTGGAATCGTGTGACATAACTAGGATAACGTTTGAAAGTGGAGGACGGTGTTCCACTTTGCTTAAACAGGAAAGAACAATGGCATCCTGCTACTTTGTGTGGATTTGTTATGTTTTCTCTTGTGTTGCAGATATTAGTCGTTTAAAACATTTTTGTCTGAAAGAAAACACGTTTAGATAAATTACTAAATTTG